AGAAGGAAAAAATGAATTAATAGAAAAACATTGTAAAAAAAGTAATTCTTTAGTTATATGCTTGGTTTATAGTAAACATAACAATTACTTTATTTCAGGTTCACGTGATTAAACAATTATCTGTTGGCAATAAATTAATCAAGAAGAGTGGATTTGTTCAAAACCATACTTAAAAAATGATTAATTTGTTAATTGGTTAATGTTAAATAAATAAGAAGATCAACTTAATTCCTTAGATAAACATGGCAATAGTGTAGAATCATTCAGTTTTAATTAAAGTGAATCTCCTATGGCATCATGTGGTTATAGAGAATTTATAATATGGAGAAAGGAATTGAAGATAAATGGGAATTAAAATTAATATTTGACTAAATTGAATTATTATATTTATTCATTTATTAATTTTTATTTATTTAGAATATAATTATTTAAGGATATTACAAATTAAATAATTACAACTTTCAATTTTATTATCAATAACTCAGGTAGTTTAATTAGTGGACATAAAATTCAATTTACTAATGATTAATAATTATTTTGGGTACCTTTACATAAGTATATTATTGATCTTTAAGTATTTGAATTGGAATTTTTGAATATAATTCTAATAAAACAATCACTTTAATTAGGAATCATGAATGTGATGATAAATCTAATTTTCCAATAATACATAATAAGGATAGAAATATAATATTGGTTCGACACAAACATTATATTTATTTGATTTGAGAATTAAATGATGATACATTTAAAATTATTATATCATTAAAGTGTAAAGTGAATTATGGTACTATGACCAATAATGGATAGTATTTAGTATTTTGGGATGAAAAAAGTGCAAAATATTCATCATATGAGATATTGTATAAATGAATTAGAAAAATATCTAAAAATTATCATCAGTAAATTATCTACTTAATTTTTCATTTTTGCCACAATTTATAATTCGAAATTTTTTTTTATTTATTTAAATATAAAAATGAACTTAAAAATTAATAAATAGATAAATAATCATAGTTAAAATTTCATTTAAATTAACTTTAAAACTACTAAAGAAAACAAAAATGTATTATTTGATCTTTCTGTTATTTCTTCCATATATGAAATAACATAATGAAATGAATCATTTCTATCACTCTTCATTTGAAGCAATAAACTTATTCATTAAAATTATTGAAATTTTAAGAGTAAATATAATTAATATGTTAATAAATTATCTGATTTTTATAAAAGTTTAAATGTTAGTAACAGTATGAAAAAAAATTTTGTTTTATTTGATACAAATATTTATCTTTTTTTAGTTTTAAAATATATTATCCTGTGTGTTTTTGGCTACAGAAATTATAG